AAGCAACTTGATAGATGATAGATAGACAGACAGACAGACAGACAGATAGCAGCATAAATTACCTGTTCTGAAAATATATTGAAACCCATCAGACATTGGTGACAGAAACTGAAGATGACATATATAAACAAAAGGATTTTGGGGTTCTTGGGTCGAAAGAATTAACATCACAGATGTGTCCACGTGATTAAAGGTACTCCACTAATTCAGCGACGTCCATATCAAAATCCCAATGACATTCTCATAGAAAAAGAAAATCTGAAACTTTACCAGGAAACACAAGACCCCACGTAGCCAACACCAATCTTGAATGAAAAGGAACAAAGCTGGGACATCACAGTTTAGAGTATAATTTGTGTGCTTGTTATCACTACACTACACACACACACACACACACAAACACACACACACAAACACACACACACACAAACACACGTTGGTATAACTGAAATCCATAGCTACATCAACAAAAAAATTATTCTCTTCCATGTTTCCACTGCTTTATAAGGGCTATCTTGGTGTATGTGATATATATGTAGGTGTGCATGGGTGTTAACATGTGTGGGTATATGTTGGAAGTCTGTGTGTGTGCTCATGGCAGCATGCACACATGCAAGCCAGAGGTTGGGTGCCTTCCTTGATCTCTCTTCAACCAACATTCGGAGGCAAGATCTCTCACTTGAGCCCAGAGCACACTGGTTCAGCTAGCTAGATTTGCTTTGGGGAGTCCATCTCTCTTTCTGAGTGTAGGAAGTCATCACACCTGTTCAGGTTGTATGTGGGCCCTGGAAATCTGAACTCTGGCCCTCAGGATTTCATGAACAGGAATGAGAAGACTGTAGGCTCTATACTATTGCTTGTCTGCTTGTGTATCGGTACCATGCTGTCTTTGTCTATGGCTTTGTAGTCTATTTCAAAATCAGGTATAGATAGGGAACCTGAAATGACCCTATCCTATAGCAATACTGACGAATATCTTCCATATCACCATAGAACCTTCATCTGGTGATGGATAGAGATAGAGACAGAGACCCACACTGGAGCACTGGACTGAGCTCCCAAGGTCCCAATGAGGAGCAGATGGAGGGAGAACACGAGCAAGGATGTCAGGACCACGAGGGGTGCACCCACCCACTGAGACAGTGGGGCTGATCTATTGGGAGCTCACCAAGGCCAGCTGGACTGTGACTGAAAAAGCATGGACTCTCTGATCATGGCGAACAATGGGGGCTGATGAGAAGCCAAGGACAATGGCACGGGGTTTTGATCCTACTTCATGTTCCGGCTTGGTGGGAGCCTAGCAGGTTTGGATGTTCACCTTCCAAGACATAGACGGAGGGGGGAGGACCTTGGACTTTCCACAGGGCAATGAACCCGGACTGCTCTTTAGACTGGAGAGGGAGGAGGAGAGGAGTGGGGGGAGGGGGAAATGGGAGGCTGGGAGGAGGCGGAAACTTTTTTTTTCCTTTTCTCAATAAAAAAAAAAATCAGGTATAATGCTTTCAGCACTTTTATTTCTGCTTTGGATTACTTTGGCTATTCTGAGTTTTCTGCTTTGCAATAATTTATATTTTTTTCAATTTCTCCAAAGAAAAGTCAGTGGAATTTTGATAGGACTTTATTGAATTAGTATATCACTTTCAGTAATATATCTGTTTTTACAATATAGTCTATCGATCCACGAGCACAGAGGTCTTTCTATCTTCCTGTTTCTTGTTTTGGTGTTTTAGTTTTCATCATAGGGACCTTTTGACTTCTTGGTTAGGTTTATTCCTAGGTATTTTATTTTTAAGCCATTATGAACAGAAATTTTTCCTGTTTTTTTCCCCTCAGCAAATTCACTACTGGTATATAGTTGACTTCTGTGTGTCTATTTGTATCTTGAACCTTGGCCTGAAAGTATTTATCAAATCTGAGAGCTTTCTAGTACAGTCTTTAATGTCTACTGAGTATGGGATCACACGTTGCTTTCTTCCTTTCCTTCTCTTTCTCGTCTGATTGCTACAGGTAAGACTCTGAGCATTATACTGAATAAGAGTGGAGAATGACACCCTTCCCTTCCTGATTTTAGAGGAAATGCTCTCACTTGTTCAATATATAGTATAAAGCATCTTGGATGCAGACTCTACTGCGCTGAGATGTTTCTTCTATTCCTAGCTTCTTCGGTGCTTTTGTCGGGAAGGTATTTTGAACTCTGTCAACGAGCTCTCCTACCCCTATTGAACCATTAGGTGGCTTCTGTCCCTGTTTACACCATGCCTTACAAGTACTGAAGAGATGTGCTTCCAGCAGCCCAGGGCTATTTTGTCCACTACTTTTTCATGTGCACTTCACTGGTGGAGCCTGAGGAATATAACAAGGGAGGAAACAAAAACTCAGAGCAGTCTGAGGTTTCAGTGAGACAGAATTCATTCTGAAGTTTCTAGAGAGATTCAGCTTGAAGATTTGAAGAGACAGGATCGCCCCCTTCGTCTGAGCATTGGCAGAGGGAAAAACTCTCTAGCAGTTGGCTGCTCTCCTCTGATCCTTCAGTTTTCACCCCTGATAGCTGACTCTGAGTTTTTATTATTAAGACCAATGAGAATTTGTGTTAAAATTTAGTTTCCTTTCCATGAGTCTACGCTCTTGTCCTCTGTACTTCTCAAGTATCCAGTCAATCCAGACAAATTCCTAAGGCTCTTTCTCTCACCGAGAGTCTATTTTTTTTTTAATTCTGGTTTAATTCTTTATAAGAGTGTATAAAATGACATGGTCACTCCATTGTATGGACAAGAGAAGGCTTTATTGTAGATATGAGAGAGGGGGGGGGAGAGAAAGAGAGACTAGCCAAGAGGCTTCTGGAAGAGTCCAGAGCAGAGAGAAAGTAGACTGAACATGGCCAGCAGATTGTACCTGACCAGGGCTATCTGTGAGAGAGGAAAGAGTGGCAGGGCACGGGGAAAACACAGGAAAGAGAGGAACAAGGAGGTGGTGGAGAACAGTACGGTTATCAGAAGAATTAGTAGCTAAGGGGAGGAAAGCCCCTGAAGTGGAGGGAGTTTAGGGTAGAGAGGAGGCAAGAAGGACTAGGATGCTAGCATTGATTTTGAAATGTGTGCAAGGGACTCATGATACTGAGGGAGCCTGGGGGTCAGCATACACGTTGACATGCTAATAGGCAGAACAGGGAGTCGTATGTTCCTTCTGCCAGAGGTAATGTAAATGAGTCCTTTTGGTAGATGGGAAATGGCTTCACACGTTCCTAAGGAATGCTGGATTTTATCTAACCACCAGAAATCCTCCTACAGTCCAGGTTGAGGTCAATTAGGGATATTTGGTCTGCCTATTGGAGCTTAGGGAATTGGAGCTTTCTTTGGACCTGACAAAGAGAGGTGCCTTCTAACCTTCCATCTTACCCAGAATTCTATTATTCGTGTGTCAGGGAGAGGGGGTTATAGTGTTTTGTTTGGTTGGTTGGTTAGTTAGCTGCACTCTGCAACCTGGGATGGCCTGGGACTTACCTGCAATGCAGCGTAAGCTGGCTTTGATCTCCACAAAGTCCTCCTACTCTCAGCCTCCTAAAGGTTGTGATTTCATGGGGACATTTTCTACTACCATCTGCAATACTTAAACATTAACAAATTTCACTACAACTACTGTGGGACAATGGTCTTGTACCCTGTAAAGATTTGTCACTTGTATTGGTTTAATAAAATGCTGACTGGCCAGTAGCCAGGCAGGAATTACAGATAAGCAACCAGAGCAGGAGAATTCTGGGAAGAGGAAAGGCTCAGGCTGCAGTCGTCACCCAGATACAGAGAAATCAAGTTGAGAATGACTCACTGATAAAAGGTACCAAGTCACATGGCTAACACAGACAAGAATTATGAGATAATTTAAGATGTAAGAGTTAGCTAAAAATATGCCTAAGCTATTGGCCAAACAGTATTATAATTAATATAATTTCTGTGTAATTATTTCAGGTCAGGTCTAGAAGGAAGGAAATGAACGAGCAGCCTCCACCTACACACAACCTCAACCTTATCCCAGGTCACCCTTTCCACCTTCTTGCCTTTATTTAAGTTGTATCTACCTTCTCTCCAAACAGTTCTCTTGATGTGTATTTTTTTTAATTTATTTTATCTTATGTGCATTGTGTTTTGCCTGCATACATGTCTGTGCGAGGATGCCAAATCCTCTGGAGCTGGAGTTACAGACAGTTGAAACCACCATGTAGGTGCTGGGATTGAACTCAGGACCTCTGGAAGAGCAGCCAGTGCTCTTAACTGCTGAGCCATATCTCCAGCCCACTCCTGAAGTGAATATTACCCCTCTCCTGACTTACCACGGGACAATGGTAAGGACAGCATTCACCTGGTCCCTCTCTGCTCATTCAAGGCCAGTTTGCCTCTATAACCTTCATAACTAATAATATTAAGGACAGCTCACCCTGGAGCATGCTATACTTCTTGCCCCAAATTGAACCAATCACAGCAAGCTAGAGAGGCTATGACTGTGGACAGCACAGACGCAAAGATACTCTCTTCCCTATCTGATGATCTCACTCAGCTGCCCACTTCCTGTATCGTGCTGTAACTTTTCAGTACAGAACTGACTACTCATCAAAAAGCTTGATCTCATTGGCTTCCCTCTGGGACTTCCTTTCTTTCCACATTCCGTATCGAAGCCTAGCCATACTGTTCTTAGATTTCTCTCAGTCCTCCTGTTCCTAGACCCTCGCTCCACTTTACCGACCACTCAACTTCCTCCTGGCCTCCTTGTTCTCCTGCAAGCCTAGAGTCTTGTGATTGATAACATGAATTTGTACTTCCCCAAACAGCAAAGTTGTATCACTTTAGACTCGTGGTCTCTAATCTGACATGCCATGCATCTACCATTTTTCCCTTACCTAATTATGTAGCCCCTATCTCCTATTTTGTTTAGAAAATGGGGCCACCAGAACTGGCCTCCATGATGTGCTCCACAATTGTTTTTGAATATTTTAGAGTTCTTACTCTTACCTTCTTTCTTGTAGATTCGAGTCTCTGTCTGGATATAAGACAATGATCTCCAAAATTGCTTCTGATTCCATTTTTCTGGGGTCCTCTGGGATCTCAGCTTCCAGCTTGGTCTCATTTAATTTTCCATCATACTTCCAGGTTGGTTTCATATAATTTTTCCTCCATAGGTTTATTCCTTCCTACATACAAATATGTTTGAAACTCTGATCATTGAAAGGGGAAAATTCCATCCCACTGACTCCCTGTCTTCTGATCATACCCTAATATCCTCTCTTTTTATTAAAACTATATAGAAAGGAGTCTGGATGCATAGCGAGGTATTTACAAATATCTGGGCTATATATGGAAAGATGTCTCCGTGGTTAAGGGTACTTACTCCTCTTCCAAAGGAGCCAGGTTTGGTTCCCTGCACTCACATAGCGACCAACAACTCCCCATAACTCCAGTCCCATGCAGGCAAAACACTCATACATTTAAAATTAAAAAGAATAAAGATGTTTGGGCTTAGTAGCCTTCCTATATGCCAAAGATAAAAGGACTGAGAAAGAAATCAGGAAATCAACACCTTTCACAATAGCCTCAAGTAAATAAATAACTTGGAATATGCCTAGCCAAGGGGGAGGGGGAACCCTCTAAAATATAAAATTTAAAACAACAAAGAGAGATAGTAAAGAAAACAGAGAGACAGACAGCCCTCGCATGTCCATGGACTGGCAGGATTAATATTATGAAAGTGGTCATTCTACCAAAAGCAATCTACAGACTTAACCCTCATCAAATCCTAACACACAAAATCTTCAAAAAAAAATTTTAAAAAACAATCATAAAATTTGTATAGAAGCAGAAAAGAGCCCAGAGAGGCAAACAAGCCTGAACAATAAAAACTCTGCTGGAGGTATCATCATACCTGATTGCAAATGATACTACAGAGGCATGGTAGTAAAAATAGCATTATATTGGCACAAAAGCTAGACATGTTGGTCAATGGAATAGAAGTGAGGACCCAGACGTAAGTCCACACACCTACAGCCACCTGATTTCTTTTTTTCCCTTTGATATGGAATGATTTCTTATATATAAAGATGCCAAAATCATAGTTAAGAGAAAAGATGGAATCTTTAACAAATGATATTAAGAAAACTATCTACATGTAGAAAAATGAAACTTGATCCTTCTTTCTCAGGCTTACACAGATTGGTTCCATAGGGATTAAAAATCTCAAAGTCAACCCTTGAATTTCTAGAAGGAAGAGTAGGGAGTACGGGTCACAATGTACACTCAGGTAAGGACTTTCTGAATAGACTCCAGGTGACCCAGATATAAGATCACCAATCAACAAGTGGAATTTCAGAACACTAAAATGTTTCTGTGTTGCAAAAGAAAACTGTTAAGGCAGCCTACATAATGGAGGAAGATAACAATCTTTGCCAACTATACACCTGACAGATGGTCAGAGTCTAGAATATACTAGGAACTCCAAAGTTAAACACCATGAAAAAAACAAACAACCCAATTAAATTTTATGGAACTGAACACAGAGTTCTCAAAAGAAAAATATAAATGGCTAAAAAATATTTGAAAAGATATTCTTACCCTTAACCATCAGGGAAATGCAAGTAAAACTACTCTGAGATTATTTTTCTTACCCCTGTCAGAATGGCTAAAATTTTAAACCAAACCAACAAAAATGATAGTAAAAAAAAAAAAAAAAATGAAGGAAATAGAGAACCCTCATGCACTTTGGCATGAGGAGTTCAAGTTGGTGCAGACAGGATGAAAATCAGGGTGGTGGTTCCTTGGAAAACCAGAAATGACTCAAATATACCACTCCTGGACATATAGCCAGAAGACTATTTCCTACTCCAGAGACACATGCTCATCTGAGTTTGTAGCTGCTCTGCTCAAAATAGCTAGAATGTGGAAACAGTCTAGATGTCCATCACATGAATAATGGATAATGAGGATATAGTACACATATAAACATTTGCATACAAAATGGATTTATATATAAAAATCTCCTTATAGAGCCAGAGCAGACCTGAGGCAGCAAACTCCACAAGAGCAGGACTGAGCCAGCGACCTGGGTGGGAGCAGGCCTGGGATGGAGAGCAGGAGCGGATCCAGACCAGGGACATTTGCGGAGGCAGGACTGAGCCAGCCACCTGGGCCAGAACAGATCTGAGACAGCAAGCTCCACAGGAGTAGGTACAGGGGAGCAGCTGCTGAGCAAGTGGGCCAGAGACAGAGACCACTGTGGGTCCTGGTGTGAATCTGGGACCTTCGAAGGAGTAGACTTGAGCCAGGACCCCTGCAGGTCTGGGCATGAGTTTGGAACCTCTGAGGAAGTAGGCCGGAGCCAGGTCCTCTGTGGGTCCCAGCACACCCAAGTCTGGGACCTCCAAGGGAGAAGATCAGAGCCAGAGACCTTTTCAGGACCAACCCCAAGCCAGGGACCTGCGCAGGAGCAGATCCAGACCAGGGACATTTACAGAAAAAGGTCTGAGCCAGTAACCTAGACCAGAGCAGGCCTGAGATAGCAAACTCCACAGGAGTGGAGCAAACTCCAGGAGCACTGAGTGACCTCCAGGAACACTGAGTGACCAACAGGAACACGGAGTGACCAACAGGATAACTAGAACTGTGGTACTGACTGTAGATGAGGAAAAACCATCTGAGCCTTGGATCCACTGGCACCTAGAAGATTATTCACCAGAGTCACAGACAGCCCCAAGTATACCAATTATAGGAAAAGATGAGTAGACAAGGTAAGAACACATGCAACACCACAAAGAGCAAAATGACAGCAGTAAAATCTAGAGACCCTATAACAGCAAGATTTGAACAACCAAATATAGATGAAGCAGAAGAAAATGACCTAAAAAATAACTTCAGGAGAATATTTGAGACTCTTTAAGAGGAAATAAGAAATTCTCTCAAAGAAATGGAGGAAAAGACAAACAAAAAATTGAAAGATATAAATCCCTTAAAGAAAACCAAAAAAAAAAAAGTAACCAAACATATGAAAGAAACTATTCAAGACTTGAAAACTGAAATAGTGACAATAAAGAAAACACAATTTGAGGAAATTATAGAAACAGAAATCATGAGAAAATGATCAGGAACCACAAATGCAAATATAAACAGCAGAATACAAGAGATGGAAGAGAGAATCTCAAGCACTGAAGATACAATAGAGGAAATAGACTCATCAGTCAAAGAAAACATTAAATATAACAAAAGCTTAACCCAAAATATCCAGGAAATAGGGGACACCATGAAGACCAAACCTAAGAATAATAGGTATAGAAGAAGGAGAAGTTCAACCCCAAAGCACATAAAATATATTTAACAAAGTCATAGAAGAAAGCTTTCCTAACCTAAAGAAAGATACACCTATGAAGATACAAGAAGCTTACAGAACACCAAATAAACTGGGAAAAAAAGTACCCTCACCAAATAACAATCAAAACACTAAACATACAGAATAAAGAAAGACTATTAAAAGTTGCAAAGGAAAATGGCCAAGCAACATATAAAGGCGGATCTATCAGAATTACACCTGAATTCTCATTGGAGACAATGAAAGCCAGAAAAGGTTGTGGTCAAGTGTTATGCAGACATTAAGAGACTAGGGATGCCAGCCCAGACTATTATACCCAGGAAAACTTTCAATTACCATAGGACAAAACAAGTTAGTCCATGACAAAACCAGACTTAACCAATACCTAGCCACAAACCCAGCCCTACACAAAATACTAAAAGTAAAACTCCAACCCAAAGAAGTTGGCTATATCAACAAAAACACAGACAATTGATGATCTCACATCCACAAATTCCAAAGAAGGAAAAAACATACAAAATAACATCGCCAACAACAAAAACTAAATTAACAGGAGATAGCGATCACTGGTCATTAATATCCCTTAATATAAATGGACTCAACTCATCTACAGAAAGGCACAGGCTAACAGATTCGATACGAAAACAGAATCCATCCTTCTGTTGTATATAAGAAACACATCTCAACCTCAAAGACCGACACCGCCTCAGAGTAAAAGGTTGGGAAAATGGACCTAAGAAACAAGCTGGTATAACTATCTTACTATCTAACAAAATAGACTTCAAACTAAAATCAATAAAAAGAGACAAAGAAGGACATTTCATATTAGTCACAGGAGACTTCAACACTCCACTCTCACCACTGGACAGGTCAGTCACACAAAAAATTAACAGAGAAATAGGGAACTAACAGATGTTATGACTCAAATGGACTTACAGACAACTATAGAATATTCCATCCAAACATAAAAGAATATATCTTCTTCTCAGCACCTCATGGAACTTCTCAAAAAGCGACCACATACTCGGTAACAAAACAAACTTCAACAGATACAAAAAAAAAAAGGAACAACCCCATGTATCTTATCAGATCACTATGGTTTAAAACTATAAGTAAAGAGCAATACCAATTCCAGAAAGCCCCCAAACACATGGAAATTATCAGCAATGGGTCAAGGAAGAAATAAAGGGAGAAATTAAAGACTTTCTAAAATTTAATGAAAATGACTATACAACATACCCAAATTTATGGGACACAATGAAAGCAGTGTTAAGAAGAAAGTTTGTAGCACTAAACCCCTACATAAAAAAGTTGGAAAAAATCCCACACTAGTGAATTAACAGAACATTTGAAACCTTTAGAATAAAAAGAAGGAAACTCACCCAAAAGATTCAAAAGATTTGATGGAAACCACCCATCAAAATCCTAGCAAAATTCTTCACAAACCTTGAAAGAATGCTACTCAGCTTCATATGGAAAGGCAAAAAACTCAGGATAGCCAAAACAATCCTGTGCAATAAAAGAACTTCTGGAGGCATCACAATCCCTGATTTCAAACTCTACTACAGAGCTACAGTACTGAAAAGAGCCTGGTACTGGCATAAGAACAGATAGGAGGACCAATGGAACCAAATAGAAGACCTGGATATCAATCCACTCATCTTCAAACACCTGATTTTTGACAACGAAGCAAAAATTATCAAATGGACTAAAGAAGCATATTTAACAAATGGTTCTGGCATAACTGGATATCAACATGTAGAAGAATGAAAATAGATCCATATCTATCACCATGCACAAAACTCAATTCCAAATGTATCAAAGACCTCAACATAAAGCCAGCTACACTGAACCTCATAGAAGAGAAAGTGGGAAGTACACTTGAATGCATTGGCATGGGAAACCACTTTCTAAATATAACCCTAGTAGGACAAACACTGAGAGAAACAATTAATAAATGGGACCTCCTGAAATTAAAAAGCTTCTGTAAAGCAAAGGACATAGTCAAACATGACAAAATGACAGCCTACAGAATGGGAAAAAGATCTTCACCAACCCCAAATCAGACAGAGGTCTGATCTCCAAAATATACAAAGAACTCAAGAAATCAGTCATCAAAAGAACAAATAATCCAATAAAAATGGAGTACAGACCTAAACAGAGAACTCTCAACAGAGGAATCTAAAATGGCTGAAAGACACTTAAGGAAATGTTCAACATCCTTAGTCATCAGAGAAATGCAAATCAAAACAACTTTGAGATTCCATCTTACACCTGTAAGAACGGCCAAGATCAAAAACACTAGTGACAACTTATGCTGGAGAGGTTGTGGGGAAAAGGGAAC